AGAATAACAGGATAGAATAAATAAGCATAAAATAAATAAACGTTAGGTGAAAGCTAAATTAAAAAGGTGAGTCTTGAGCCTGTTCTTAAAAACATGTACGTTCTCTGCGGCCCTGAGCTCCTCCGGCAGGCTGTTCCACAGATGAGGACCATACCACTGAAAAGCTGCCTCTCCGTGAGTATGTGTCCTGACTTTAGGAACAATCAAAAGGCCAGTGCCAGAGGACCTCAGGGTCTGCGAGGGTTCATATGGTGAAAGCAAATGTGAGAGATAAGAAGGCCCGAGACCATTAAGACATTTAAAAACCAATAAAAGAACTTTAAAATCAATCCTGAAACACACGGGGAGCCAATGCAGCGATTCTAAAACCGGTGTAATGTGGGCCCGCCCTCTGGTCTTTGTCAGCACACGAGCTGCAGAGTTTTGTAAAAGTTGTAAAGGTGAAATATTCTTTTTGGGGAGACCAGAGAGCGGGGTATTACGGTAATCAATGCGACTGGTAATAAAAGCATGCATCAACATCTCCGTGTTGGCCTGAGAGAGAATAGGGCGGACTCTGGCTATATTTTTTAGATGATAAAATCCAATTTTGGTTACATGTTTAATATGTGGGATAAAACCAAGCTCAGAGTCAAAAATAACACCCAGGTTTTTCACTTGTAGTGAAGGGCATAGTGAAAATGCCTGTAATTTAGACAAGAGTTTCTCTCTCTGAACCTCAGGACCGATGATTAAAACTTCAGTTTTGTCCTGGTTAAGCTGTAAAAAGTTTTCTGCCATCCAAGATCTTATATCTAGAATACAGTTAAAAAGGGCATCCATTGGTCTGGTGTCATCAGGAGACACGGAGATGTACAGCTGAGTGTCATCAGCGTAACTGTGGGAGTTTACTCCATGCCACCTGATGACACCGCCAAGAGGGAGCATATACAAATTAAAAAGTACAGGGCCTAAAACCGACCCTTGAGGCACACCACATGTCATTTTATGGATCTTAGAGGAGCATGTATCCATACTCACCATAAAGGTTCTGTCTGAGAGATAGGAAGTGAACCAGTTGTGTACAGCACCAGAGAGGCCCACCGTGTGTTTCAGTCTGTTTAAAAGAATAGCGTGGTCTACTGTATCATAGGCTGCGCTTAGATCCAGTAGCACCAGGACTGAGAGCTTTTGGGAGTCCCAGTTACATCTAAGATCCTTTAACCTGCATGTGTGGATATACCAACAATCTTTGCCATCACTTTCCAATAAAAAACCTGCACCCTTGCAAAGCGGTCATGATCAAGTGAGGCTGCACTGAAAAATCTTCTAAATGTGTTTAATTGAGTAAGCCTGTATTTTAAGTGTTGTTTAGAATAGTATATAGGGCACACTCAACCCAACTAGGACTCTGTCTTTTACTTTATCACAGACCCCTCATCTGTTAAAAGAGACCACTCAATCACATCTCAGCAGCCTGGCAGCCAGCATCTGTCTACTGCTGTCCTTGCCTTATTACCAGATCAGCAAAATAATGGAATACCACGCCGTGTCCTTAGGTTGTCTCTCACAATAACCAGAATAGAATTATTTTTTTGTTTTTTGTACTGATTGCCTTTTAGTCATTTTGTTGCCTTTAGTCATTTAGTCAGTCTTTTTTTTTGTCATATTCTACTCTGGTGCACAACTGAGACATTTAGTCATCTTATAGCTGCAGAGGGTATTCAAGTATCTCACACAGCTGGTTCTATCTGCAAGAGGACACACTATAATCAGACTCCTGCAGAAGCCAAATGGCTGAAGATAACAGAAAGCTCAGCACTGCATCTGATTGGGAATAGGCCTTGGCTTTGTGGAAATTGTTACAGGCTGCAGAGAACTGGCTTTACGTTACTGTCTCAATAGCATTAAGCCTAACGAAAACACCTTTTGTAGCAGAATTTGCGCCAAGAAAGAACTGAGACAAGATTAATTTTGTACAACAGCAGAGATTTATTCCCACAGGGATCCATGACTGTAGATCACTGTGTCTCTTTCCCTTATCTAATGTTGGACCAAAAGTGATGGAGAAAGGCTGGCCTTGGTCTCAGACAGCCAGAAACATAAAGGGAGAAAGAGAGAGAGGACCCAAAGCAGCAAGCCCAAGAGTATTCTGGCTATATAGTACTCATGTTCCACATATTGATTATTCACGCGCATTACAACCGAGGCCACTGAACACAACACCTGACTAACATTTCCAGAGAAATCCCATCAAAAAAAAAAGAAAGCTGCTAGCATACCTTGTAGTACTGCTTCATTCAAGGCAACTGTTACTTCATTTGGCATGAAAATGCATTTCATGCCAAATGCATTTTCCACTGGAGAAGGGATAAGGAACAGACCGAACTGGGCGTGGAAAGAGCTGACTGTCCTCACATGATTGTTTTATAAATCAGCAAGGTGGAAAGGTAAGAGCAGGGAGATTAAATGAAGTGTGATGACTATGAATAATGCATAGAACAGACAAATGGAATAGAGGGCAGACATGTGGTGACTCTGTGTGGCTTCTTTGGCTGGTGCGTATTTGTGTCTGTTGATCGCGGTCACGTGTCCTACTCTACAACTTTCTGGAGGATTCTGATTTTAGACAACACACATGTTTACTGACCCTTTTCTAACGAGGCTGTCTGGCGTAGCTTGGCTACTATAACACATCATGTCTGCGTGCACTAGATTCAGCTCGCACTGCTTCCTAAGAGCAGCAATGAAGAGCATCTTTTTAAAAAAGGCATAACAAATGGAGACTCGGCTGCTGTAGTATTCGGTTAATATTTCAGAAGTACCCAGAGGGCTCTGTGTGAGTGCGTGTGGTTTCACATTAGAGCACAGGCTTACTTCTGGGCATCCAGCTGTGTCTGGGGATTCGATATGCTGTGCACAGTGAATTCCTCAATGCTGTGGCTACTTCATCTCCTAACTACTAAGCATGCAGCATCACTGAACTGGAAGGAGTCAGACACAGCTGGAAGAGGGGTCTTCAAAATACAGGTGACACACCTTTTCATTTGAAGAATGTGTTTGTGAAGGGAACATACTGTAACTATTTCATCTCATTAGTATGTTATACATAACACACTGGAGTGGGTCCACGCAGAAAAACATTTGACTAATGTCTGCTGTATTAAACAGGAAGTCCGCATCACGACATGGACTTCATGCGATTATGAGGCAGGGAGGCGATGAATTAATGAGAAATGTAAGATCAGAGACTGGGTGTCCTGCGAGTCTACTGAATAGATTCTGACTGTTTTTTTTCAATCTTTCATCTTCCAGGTTGGCAGACAGAAACTGCTGCAGCACCACTTCAGCATGAAAGAATCATGTGATCGTACCCTAAAACACTGTTATCCTCACTAGAGATTACAGATTGTGAGGCCTCATATCGATGATGGCATCTCTGGGAGTCTGACATTAACTCTTTATGTTCGACCCAAACCTCACTTAACCTAACAGACGAGGGAAACAACAGCAAAGCACCATGTTCCAGCTGCAAGAACTCAACAGACTGTCTGAGCTCTCCCTAAACGCTCGCACACACATGCATGTTAGCAGAGTCCACATCACTGTGCGGAGTCAGACTGCAGCGTGTACTAGGAGCTGTCCACGGAGCACGGTGCTGAAAGCTGCCGCAACGTATGGTAACTCCAGTCAGTGAAGACCAACCGTATGTGAACGTGGGCACATGTTAAACACTAACTGCAAGCATCGTGGACATGTTAAAGTCTTCCAAAATGACACTCTGACGTAAGCATGAGTTGCAAAAGCCAACAATAAAGAGTTGGAGCAGGAGTTATGGAGGTGAAGTGACTCCTCTCGTGTGATAAGGCTCTAGCAGTTCGGCAGCAGGACCGCATTTAACCCTTTATTGCGTCGCACGATCATTATCAGTAATGCAGAACGAGACACCCGATCTGCAAAGCTCCACAGCATCTTTCCTAATCCAAGGCACGGCAACTGTGGCAGAAGCCCAAAACTGCACTTACACATAAGCGTGGTAGATGAACGCCCATCCCCGCGGTCTTTCCAGCGCATTGTAGAGAAAATTCTGTAGTCTCCGATAGCTGGCGTTTTTCTTCGACGGTCTCGGTCTTCCTGCGGAGAAACTGGACCTCGGTCTGCAGAGGATGCTGTTCCGCTTGGTGCTTTCCGAGCCCGCAATGAGCAGTGCCCCATCCCTGCTGGATTCCGGAGCTCCCGGGTCCAAACCCACAAACCCGACTTTGTGCTTCTTCTCTCCGGCTTGAGTTGGGTAAACCCCGCCGTTGAGAGATTTCTGCACCATTCTAAAGTCGAGACGACTCTGAGGAGGAGTTGTCCGTGCCCTTGCCGCGGGGATGCATCACCGGTGCTGAGGGGTGTGTGCTGGTGGTGAATGCAGTTGATGTCGGTCCCTCTAGAAAAACCAATTGCAATAAGCATGCGAGACTGCACCGTGTATGCTTTTACCTTAGCCACTTCCGGCCATCTGACACACAGCAAGGAGCGAAATGCACATGGATTTTATTTTGTTGGTGACCAGCGATTTAAAAGCATTCTTCAATCATCTTATTGCCAGAAATGCTCTTAATCAAATTACATTAATTAATTAAGGCCAAGTTCAAGCGCCAGCTTTCTTCCAGTGCTCTATTTAAACAATCCTAGGGTTTCAACTAACTTGGGAGGGTGGGGAAGTCCATTACTATGATATGTCCGAAAGAATCGTGTTAGTTTTAAGAATCCGGCGTAAGATAACCTGCCATCTTCACCACTCAACTCCAACACGGGAGGAACTGCAGGAAAGGGTTTAACTGGATTATGCACTCTCATGTAATATTCATGCGTGAAGCTTTTTCACTCGGGGTAATGGACACGGAAAACTATGTCAAGCTATGCCTCGAGGTTTGTGTTCCCTCGACAGGAATACACATGCAGCCTGAGAAGGTATCAACAACAGCCAAGACAGAAGACAAAGAAATGGAGCATCCCAGCCTGCTTTGCGCACACTCCAGCGTGAAACAATGTAGACCAGTTTGCATCCATCTGAAAGTGAATGACGCGCACACAGTGATGAGAGTAGCAGAACGGCAACAGTTTCAAAATAATGCAAAGCCTATATTCAATTTAAAAAGGTGCACAATATTGAAAACAACAATTTTTAAATGTCAGTAAATGCAATTAATGCGGTGCCATGCAGCTGCAATGTGTGCAGAATGTTGCGCAATATAAGACCTTGCCTGAATGCCAGCAGTTTTTTCTATGACCTGCATGTTTGTTTCAGCTTTAATAGCGCCTTTACACATGACACGTCCACTTATCATCATGGCTGCAGGCTTTCAAACTGTGCGCTAACAACGCTGAGTGGTCCCTGTGCTCTTTAACGGAATTGATGCAAAGAACCTCTCCCTTAATTCTCAACCACTGCTTTTCTGAGATACTCAGTTGTACCGTTTATGTTACTGGGCTGTTGTAGTTGTGCTTTTTAGCATTAAACGGCCTTGCCAGTCTTTTGTTACAATGTCAGAACTTTTTTCAGCTCAAGCATTTCTTATTTTGTCGCTGTTGTTTTCAGTTAACTATAAGAGTTAAATGATTTGCAGATTACTGGATCTTTTGTTTTAATTTAAATGACACCAGATCATATGCGCTATGACATCAAGCACAAATATGAGAATGAGTAAGATGAAAAAAGAAACCGTCACAATGGTCACTCCCGATATTACTTAGTCACAGCCTGCTGTCATGGTGTGAAAGATTAAAGATGTAATCATCTTTTTGACTCATGCAAACCTACACGGAGCACATACATGAGCATACATATGGCCCACTGTAAAAAAAGAAAGGGTTAAAGAAACAAATAAACATCAAAATGGAAATAAAATATCCAGAAGGACATCCCAGCCGCCACTGGATCAGCCAACAATACTGCTGCGCTGAAAAGTTTGTCATACTGAGAACATTTTATTCACTAGCTTGTTAAGATTCCATTTACAATGATAATTTTTAGAAAGTTTCAACAACAACAACAAAAATCCTTTTTACAGTTATTTGCAAGCAACAAAAAAAATTGCAGGTAAAGTATATACAATTTGAAACATTAGAATAATGTAAGTACATGTGTAATCAGTGACATGTATGTCCTGCTACACCGACATGCTGCAATCATTAGCTAATTTGAACCGGTAGCACAGTTAAGACCAGGTTATGATAACTAACGCTGCACTGGGAGTTTTATCATATTTACAGTGCTCGAGTTAAGAGCAACGTTTGATAAAGAAAACAAAAACAATGCAAATAGCCATGGGTTTTATATGGCAACTGATGGATGTCAATTTGTGTTGGTAATGCTACTGCCAAGGGATGTGTAGGGACTATTCCAACATGAACCAAATAAAAAATAAAAAGATCACATGACCTGCTGTAATGTCAAGTGAGGTCCTTGAAATCCATGTCAAACCTTTTTTAACAGTCAGACACAAGTTGTCAGTGAGGTTACAGTTAAAAAAAGAGAATCAGGTTCTCTTTAAATGCACAGTTAAACATACAAAAAGGTTTTATATACTATATTATTTCCATAAAAAATAATCCAGTTTAATTTATAGCAACTCTCTGCTTTAATTCTCTACACGACCTCACCCTCCCTCCCTCTGACACTGCTACAGCTTGTATGTACAAAATAATAATAATAAAATGGTCAGTAAACTAATGTTACTGGGTTTTTTCAGTCATCAAACAGTCCCTTTGTTCACATCACCAGCAAACTGCATACAGTACTTTTTTTCTAACACTGAATGGACCAATTTTTGTGCTTCTTTTAATACCTACAGTTAACACAATCGTTTCAAGACAACATAAAAGCCAATTGAAAAAAACAAAAAAACAAAAGGTGTCTTAGTTAAGTGAAGGTAATCCTTCAACTAGAAGACTTGAATTAATATATTAATAATTTAACAGTATCCTGATAACTTGGCTGCTTGTTGAGAAACAACCTTGTATAGTTTCTTACTTTGTCCTGATTCTGATTAGCTAGCTTCAGTACATCCATCCCTTGCACTCCCTGAAGATTAATGTAACACATAAATAAAATGAAATACACCAGAGCAGTTACATCCAAAAGACGGCATGCCATTGGTTCTTTAAATACTGTTCAATACGTAGGCTGGAATGCTTTTAGATTCTTTTAATACCCGATATAGTATAAGTAGGCGATAAAACGCTCCTTCTTGGACACAATAAATAACTATCCTTCATATAGTGCAGTAATACAGTACTCACACTAAACCTACAGTAATTGCACAGTAACCACATGCAGCAATCCCACCCCACCCCCATGCCATCTTCATCTGCCCTTCAATCCCTACTTCCATTTCTCTGTCTAATCTTTAACTTTCTGCATCTTATATGAATTACAGGGCATTCAAGTATTCTACTTCACTCGGGGTCCGCACATTGAGCCCTGGGGAACGCCAGCCTGAACAGAGAAACACGCAACTCTCTGGATTTTGCAGTCCAAGGCAAAATGAAATGTCTGCATTTAGGATGACAGTCAGCTACAGGTAGTTTGGTTAATCCAGTTAATAATATAAGCTCAACTGTGAGAATAACCACTGTGGACATTGTCTTTATGGGGCCTCCTCATTTTTCGTATTGTTGTGAATATTTTGAACCGGTTGTTAAGTCGACATGGTTTGGAAAGAGAGCCAACAGAATAATGCTTCTATATGGTTAGCTCCAGTAAAATAATACATAGCTAGTCCTGAGACTCAGGTTGCATCAGTCTCACTGTAGGTGCTCTGTAGACTCTAGTGGTATCCACGCCGGAATGATCCCTGTGTAAGTGGGGCAATGGGGAGAGGCAAGGTTTTCCACTGCCAGTGTCTCTATGCTCCTGTCATCATCAGTTCCTCATTCACCCTCTCTGTGATGACTTTGCTGAAGTGACAGTATCCTTAGAGGTCTCCATCTGAGGGTGGCAAACATAGCTTGAAGAGCCTGTTTAAAAAAAAAAGAAGCAAAACTTCAAATGAGGGGAATCCACCTGGATTACATATAAACAGTGCAATTATCTGAAAGGCATGGCTTGAGGTGCCTAGAAATGGTTTCATTCAGTACCTTGGAGCTGATGGAGGCATCTGGTCCATTACCTTGAGATTTTTAGCAGACAGCTCAACTCTTGCCCCCTTATAAGAGAGAAAATAGAGAAAATATATAAGCTAAAAGCTCAACATAACAGACAGCTTGACTGCCATTAACAGATTAAACACAGAAAGCTCTCCGTGTGTTCATATTTTATGACAGAGGCATGGAAAGAAACAAACGAAATGCAATATGAAAAATTAATAACAGTAAAATATGAAAAACAGAAGTGCTAATTGCTGACAAATAATGAAAAGTTGGGTTTAGAACTGCTCATTACTGTTCTATAATATAGTACAACATGCTCTTAAATGTCCAGCAAAGGGAGCTACATAGGATTTCTGATCCAGTGTGTTCACGCATCAACTCAATTAAGTTGAACTTTGCTGTCTATTTAAATAAGTCCTAAAAGATTGCATTTCAAACTAACAAAATAATCTATACATATTTCTTGTTTGGTTGTTTGTATAATTAGATTGATGACCATTAAGAGTTCCTTTCACTGGAAAAATATTGAAAAC